CCAAACACCTGACTTATTAATAGCCTACCCTGAAACAAAACATCATTATTTCGCTTTACAAGGTGGCTAAACCTTTGCACCTTTTCCCCTTTCGCGTCTCGCAGAAGCTGCAGCTGGTGTTGGCGCCCTTCAGCAGCTTCTTCCCGCTGCCGCTGGACGACAGCTTCCCGGAGAAGACCACCCTACTGTCCCACTCCTTCCGGCAGCTGGACCGCATCGACTCCCTCAGCGAGCAGATCGGCTTCCTGGAGGAGCGCCTCGGCACATGTGAGCAGCCGAACGCTCGGTGTTTGATTCCTTGTTGCTCTCAGAAGAATTTATTTATTTATTTTTTAAATAGCTGGATTTAGTCCAAAGTTATAGGAAAAGTTATTTTCCAGGAAAGAAGGGTTCCAGATAGCAGTGCAGATAAGACGACTGTCTGTAATGTAATATTGTTAATAAATGTATTATTATTAATAAAATGAAATAACATGATTAAATCTTGAGCGTGTAACATCATAATGTCCCTGAATGTGTAATGATAGCTTAAATATAAAACAAAAAACACAAACAAAGTGAAATATTTGCTCTTAAATTATAATCTAATTAAGAAAGAGTCGAGTAAAGTGTCTCCAGACGAGTTTCCCGGCCAAGAAATCTCATCTGGAGACAATAAAAAAATTAGCATTTAATTATAAATGCCGCAGCTATTTCCAACAATCGGTCTGAGGTTGTCCAAATAATAGTTTTCAATGGTTTTGTGCTACATAAATCCAACCTCCAAAGCTCCTCGTTCGTTAAAACGCCTCCAGAGGCGGGAAGGATCGTCGCTCTGGAACGGCACCAGATTCTGTTTTAACTTGAGCAGCACGTTAAAAATCTGACATCTTTTTTTTTTTTTTTTCTGCTCCTTTCTGTTCATGTTCATGGTGTCGTAACTCTTTCCACATTCTCTCCTCCAGGCTCTTGTCAGGAGAATTAGCGGACAAGAAGAAAGTCGTCAGGAGCCATCTCAGAGCTTTTATTACGCTGTGACGAATGCACCCGCACAAATGTTTGAAGATTTTTTTTTATTTTTCCAGCATTCCAAAATGAAAAATTCAATGAAATCAGTTTTTTTTTTTTCATTTTTTCAACGGTACCAGCAGCAGCGGGTCGGCCTCGCCGCCTCGCCGCCGCCCTGCGTCGGTCGAAGCTCGACGTATCGCCACTCGCATCAGTGCAGCTGTGTTCTCCTGTGTCAGAGCTCCATCCTGGTCCCGGGGCCTTTTGCACACATCTGTATTTATCTATTTAAGTTATGGTCACCTGTAGGCATTCCTAAGTGCTCTTAGTTTTGTAACGTTTTTTTTTTTTTGTAATAAAAGTCTGAATTTAAAAAAAAAACAAAAAAAAAAACGTGTGTTCAACCAGTATCAAACACATAAATGAATGCTTTTCAAAAAACATTTTTGTATGTTTTCAATGAAAGGCTGTAGGATGGGAGTAAATACAGGACGAGCCAGGGACATAAAACCTGCTGAAGCGACACTGTTAAAGACTTTCTATAAAGATCAGAACTATGAAGGTATCCTTGTGAGATGCTTTAGGGTGTAATAATAATTTTATTATCCTAATTAATCTCTTCAAGTCATATTACAGGGTTTTGTAAGATGGGTTCATGGCAGTGGGTACGGTTGCTCCAATGATAACAGTGTGGCTGGTTAAGGTAACCGTGACCCTTGCTAAAAAAAAAAAAAAAAAAAAAAAGGTTGCATTTGAGTCAGAAGTCAGATAAGAAAAGGATTAAAGCCTGAAGCAATCGGTGCCTGATCTGACGTCAGAAATATGTTACGATTACAAAACACACACAAAAAAAAATACCTGATCTTTTTTTTTTTTTCATTAATAGCAAGCTGCCAAACCATCTGCTTCGAAATGAGTGCTGATGGACGTTAAAGTCAGTGAATCGTGAATTTAAGACTTTTTGACGTGGCTGCTACTTTTACAATTTCTTTCCTTCTTAGACAAGTGGAAACAACTTCTGAATGAAGTAGGAGCCATTTCTACACTCGGCCCGTAAACGCTCGTGGTAAAGTAGTGGAATGAAGCAGGGAACTATATCAAAGAAAAAACATGTTCAAAAAGGCGTAGAAATCCAAGAATTCTTTTTTTTCTGAATTTATAAAGTATCAACGCTACTACAGACAAACCAATACCAGCTGGTGGAATATTAACCAGTTACCTATAAAAAATAAAATCTGATTACTAAACTATTACACAGAGTGGTGCATTCGGTAAAACAGTTGAGAGGATAATTTTTTTTTAAGAGTTGCGGGATAGTTGTACCTGCCACAATGACATCTAAAATGCACAATCACTACACGAGACTTCACTTTTGAGAAAAGGAGTGTTTGATTTGAACAATCTAGGGACGTATGAGGACAGATGCGGTCTGGTCAGATGAGGCAAAATCTCATTTTACAAACCACGTTTGGAGAAACACGGGAAAAGTGAAATTGACACATGGGAACATTATGTTGTGGGCTTTCTTATAGCATGCGGTGCTAACAGTTTTTAACAGGTGCATGTAAATGTAATATTACCGTCTCGTTTAGAAAATTTTATACAAAGCAATAACTTCCATAGGGCCACTTAAGAATATTTTTTTTTTATTTTCCTCCAATGCAAAGCATTCACCTTCACCAAGAATAGGGCAACAGAATGTACATACATACATCACTCACACAAGGCTCTGCTCCATTTCTCCTATGCGTCTAAATTTCACTTTGGCTTAAAAAAAAAAATTAAATAAAAAAGGGGGGAAAAAACAGATAATTTTCAAGTCAAAATTCAGAATAAA